AAATGCTGGTGGTTTTTTGCTCCAAGTAATTTGAATTTTGATTTCTTATTCATTATGCCAGTCACTGGCCACCTTCCTGGCTATATAATTTATTTTTTTAATGCAGTGACAAATAATAAAATATTTCATTATTTCAAGTCCCAGGTGCACTTTTAAAGTATAGAGATTATAAAAATTACCTAGAGTATGGTGTGTTAAATACACTTTCATTGACTGAGTCAAGTGATCTTTGGCATGAATTATTCTTGAGACTAAATGGGCTTTGTGCACACTCAGAGCCACTGTGCACAGAAAAGCATTGGGAAAACTACTCATTGAGGGCATCTATATTAAAATTAATAGCTTTGGGAAGAAGCATTAATTAAAAGTGTCTGTAAATAGGACTTGCAGACCACTCCAGGACAGATTCAGTGTTAAATCAGTCATTTGTGAACTTGCTTCAAAAATGGGTAATGAGGTTGGTAAGGAGGTCTTGCCCTTTGTCCTGACTGTGTGGTGCGCAGCTTATGGCTTTCCTCAAAAGCAGCACAAAGACTGGAGATACCACAAAGTTGGTATTCTTTTATGTCCAGAAAAGTAATTATGTTTTCAGAGCTATGAGAATTTGCTTACTCACTTTTAATCTTTTATAGTAAATAATCCAGATTTTAAGGCTGGTGTCATGGCTCTGGCTAACCTCCTTCAGATTCAGCGTCATGACGATTACTTGGTAATGCTTAAGGTAAGCTACCCACTTTATTCTTGATAGAAACTGCATATGTAGAAGAATATTCACTTTTCTATATACTTCTTTTTACCTGTTTATGATGGGTGGGTAAATGGAAATTCAGAGCATGCATCATTATGTTTCACATTATCCAGCAGTAAGCTGGTATCCAAGCACACAGTTTTGTCTCTGCAGAAATAAATTTTTTTTCAATCCTATTAATAATCGTACTGAGAAAATACTTTAAAAAATCAAGAAAACAAAAAACAACTGGGGCCCAGGGAGCTAGCTTGGCTGGTAGAGTGCTCACCACATAAGCTTAAGGACTGAGTTCAGAAGTCAATACAAGTAAAAAAAATACAGCACATAGAACTCTTCTGGGAAGACAGAAACAGGTGGACCACTGGGGCATGCTGGCCAGCCAATCAAGCCAAATCAGTGTTAGCCGTCTCACACTGATCATTGCCCTAATTTAATTTTGGCAAAATTTAAAGACAGTTTAGTAGAGAAAGGATAGTCTGAAAAAAAGGTCAAGAGCAACTGGCAGTCACCTTTCGCCAGTCTTTAATTTCCACGTATGTGCATGCACACGTATATGTATAGGTACACATGAATTTATAGGCACACCCATATACCTCACAAAAAGAACAAGTTTTATTAAGAAACTAAGACCTAGAAGAGGATAACAAACATTCAAGATATAGACAGTCATAGAGCCACCTCTGTTCAGCCAAGTGAGATTATTGTTGAGGAAATGCCAATCACTAAATGCCAGACACACAGCAAAATCTCTTTAGGATACAAATGCTCTTGTCTTCAACCTCTTTACTTTCTAGATAAACCTTGCAACTTATACCCCACATCAAGAAACACAGCTAATTAAGAGTGTTGTTTTTGAGAGAGGAAAAACATTCCATACAATTCTGCTGTGAATATGCAGTGGAATGGGACAGTAGTATGCAAATGGTTGATTTAGAGGCTGTTGTTATTGTAGGAGACGAAAAGCTCTAAGACCTCGAGAGTGAAAGTCACTGTAAACCACTTCATAGTGAATTGAATAAACTTTCATCTACCCAGAAGCTTTATAATTTATCCTACTTATTAGAATTATATGGGTTATGTGGGCAGTTTCAACAAGGAAGGTAATGTTCTTAGCTTAATGGAATATTCATGTTGAGTCTGAATGGATTTTCTCAGCCCAGGTTGGATGCTAAGACATCAAGTTGTCGTTAGTTAAATTTAGCTGTTTTAAAGTTTTATTCTTTGCTTAATCCAGTATGCCATTTCCTTTGGTCAGTCCCCCAGTGATCACATAATCTTTAGTCATAAACTAAGGGAAAAGAGAAATAGGTAATGCAAGTGTTTGAAGTACTTTTGCCAAACTTTGAAAATCCAGGAGTACATGTAGTTGCTAAACAAAAGTTTTATGAATTCCTAGGTCTAGCTACATATTTATCTTGTTAGGCATTCAAATGGTCCTGATATTATAAAAGGTATCTTAGGTTTGCCAAGCACAAGTCAGCATATTAAGGGCTGATTTAGCTCATTAGTAGAGTGTTTGCTTGGTGTGCATTAGAGTTTGGGTCCACTGCCAGCATTGGGGTAGGGGTGGACATTTGTGTATTAGTCGCCTGGGGAGAATAGTAAGCATGGTGTTTTGGTCTCCTAGGCAATTCGAATTTTGGTTCAGGAGCGTCTAACACAGGATGCAGTTGCTAAAGCAAATCAAACAAAAGAGGTATGTATGTTTCTAAGATTCTAAGCCAGCTAATGGAAATTACCTCTGGTGCATTCAAACTTAGCGTTTTCTTAAGGTAAATTCTGGGCCAGGCATGGTGGGACACACCTTTAATCCTAGCACGTGGGAGACAGAGTCAGGCAGATCTGAGTTCGAGGCCAGCCTGGTCTACAGAGTGAGTTCCAGGACACAGAGAAACCTTGTCTTGAAAAAAACAAATGAAAAAAAAAAAAAAAAAAAAAAAAAAAAAAGATACTCATTCTCTTGGAACAGGAGAAAGGATAGCGGACTTATGTGTGAATTCATTTGATTCTTAAGCAGATTCAGTGACTGAGGTTCAGACTGATGGGTGAGCAGTGAATTGCATGTCTGTCCACATTTCACATTCTAGAAAATCACAGTTATCCATTCAGTCTGCAAACTGAGGCATGTGCCCACTAAAAAAATATTTAGCCTTGTGAAATGTATTGGATTATTTTGATGCATGATAGGAAAGGCAGGGCATACTACTATCTTGTTAAGTATCTCATTTTGTTCAGTGTGCCATGACTACCTCCCCCTTGCAGAATGCTACTGTAATATTTTTAACCATGCCACCAGTTCAGATACTCCTGATAATGCCAGGTGTAGAAGTATAAGCATTTAATCCTAGTACTAGGGAGACAGATCTTTGTGACTTCAAGGCCAGTCTGGACTATATAGTAAGACCCTTTCTCAAAGAAAAAGAAAAATGAAATCTCCCCAAAGCCACAATGCAGAGAATGTTCTTGGGTAAGGAGTAGCAGCTGCAGTTGCCAATAATGGTCCCTTCTTATTATAGATGTTGAAATGAATGCTCTGTGCCTGCCCCCACCGAGATTCTTTCTCTCAAGTTCTCCAATACCCTTTGTCCTCTGACCCCTTTAGCCAAGTCCAGCAGTAGTGAAGGGCTGCTGGTTCCAGGGAAGTGCAGTGTAGGTGCCTCTGAAAGACACTCCGCTTTCTACTAAAGGTTCTTACTAGCTTGATTGTGTATGAATTAGCCACTGGAAATTGGAGCAAAGATCAGCTTATTTCACCCACACTATAGAACAAACAACAAATTGTTCTGACATAATAGTCATTCATTCACTAAAATGATGTCTTTGGTTTGGAGGCAATGCGAAACAGTGCTGTGCCAGAACTCTACCCCTATTTCAAAGTAGCATCTAGCTTCATCTTCAGTGTTAGTTTGTAACTTCAGATTACTGGTCTTGGTAGCCATTCCTGACTAATACTCGAGGGTTGTGTTTCCTTGGTGGTCTGTTGGCAGGGAAAAGGACCCGTCTGTGGTGTCAGGTGACATACAAGTCTACTCTTTGTTATTAGCTCTATTAAAGTAGACAGAGCCTAGGTAGTAGGTAATTACTGCTAATTTTTATCAGCAGAAAGCCTAGACTTCCTGCCCTCCTTTTTGTATTAGGTAGCTATTGTAAAGACACTGGAAATTGGTGTCATCATCCTGAAGTATCTAGGTGTAGGTGCTAATGAGGTGGAATATTAAGCCATTTGAATAAGATCATATCAAAGTAACTTCCTATTAAATATATAATCTCCAATCACTGACTGATGGTTTTAGACAGGTTTGTCTACTTTTATAGTATCATTTGTAATCTAATTTGCATGGTACTTACCTAGCTTTCAGTTCTCCTTCCTTAGCAGTATTAAGTGCCTTTGCAATTAAGGACTCTTACAGTCCTGGTTTAAGAGGTTGGGTGGGCTTTGATGCCTCTGGTGCATTTGAAGAGCACTCTTCCCTTGGTGGCTGTTAACAGGGAAAGCCATTTCTTTACAGGGTAACTTGTAGCAGTCCTCAAACTGAATAGCCAGCTGTTCTTTAGTTTCAAATGAGAAAAGTGACTCTTAACTAAATAGTCGTTTTGTCATTTTTTTAAAGGGCTTACCTGTTGCTTTAGACAAACATATTCTTGGCTTTGACACAGGAGGTAAGTTATTTTGCTTTAAGTAAAGCTATTTGAGGGATTTGGTCATGTGCTGAGATGTAAGCTGAGTGGCTGGAAGCTTAGAAACCACAAACAGCTGTGTGTGCACACAAACAGAGACAGAGAGATATGCAGTTCTTGTCTTGTGACAGATGCGGTTCTTAACGAAGCTGCTCAGATCTTGCGGTTGCTGCACATAGAAGAGCTCAGAGAGCTACAGACGAAAATTAATGAAGCCATAGTAGCCGTTCAGGCAATCATTGCTGATCCAAAGACAGACCACAGACTGGGGAAAGTTGGAAGATGAGCACATCAGGATTCAGCTTCTCCCCTGCTTAGTGTGATAGGAACCGTGTACACCGGCATGTTTGGAAATCAAATGTCACATTTTCAAGAGAGGAATCCTTGAAAATGACCGTGTTTTACCACCACTGCTTTCTTTCTTTTAATAAAGTTGGGGAAATTAAAAGGGTTTTTTTGTTTTGCTTTGTTGCGAAGTAATATATCCTGTAACTATTGTGCATCCTCCTTTATGGTTAGAGATCCACCCCAACCCATAACTTTGTCATGAAGACATAGATCTTTAGACCACAAGAAAACTTTAAAATATTTTACTGAAGATACATAGGAAATTTAAGGACTGCTACATCTTTGGTGTTTAACATGGGATACTTGTGGATGCTTCCTTTAATATAAAGTCTGAGGACTTTTGCTGCGAAATATAAATAGGCTGGATCATCCCGGTGAACTGCATAATCTTCTGTCACAGGACTCGGTGGGCTTTAGGAACCAATTTTCATAACCAGTCATGTGTTTTACTTTTCTTAGCCAGGTAGACTCCATGGCAAAAATCAGATTTAATGTGTAAAGCTCTAGTTGGTTCTCTGGTAAGTGAATTTGGTCTTTTAAATAAGTGTTTACAAAACGTTGCTTTAATTAGCAGTGATTAAAATTCTTTTTTAAACTTCTGATAACCTTTGTTTTTAAAAATACAGTAGTAATGATTGAGGTATACACTTCACAAATATACTTAGTCTCACAGCACTGAAAATGCTCATCTTTTGTGCCCAGCTCATAATGGCCAATTCCTTTTTTCACTGCCTTTGTCTTTGTAGTCAATGTTCTTAGGTTAAGATTCTTGTAAACTTGAAATCCTCCTATACATTTTATATTCATTTTCTTCCTAAGGGAGTAGACAGCAGTGAATGTTTCATTAGTTAAGCCAAATTAGTATGGAAGGCAGAGTTGGCAGAATTACCACAGCCCTTCCCCACCCCTTCTTCACCCACTAGACCAAGGAAGCATCTCAGTGTATGATGATGGACTTACCTGTTGGACAGTAAGGGTAGACTGCAGTGATCCCATAGAGGTGAGACCGCTGCTCGGGGAGATACTCATCAGTAAACTGGCCACTGTCTTTATTCACTGATATAACACCATCCCTAGGAAAAAAAGGAGAGGCAGCCATGGCTGGTCAGTCATGAGATAAAGTTTCAGAAGACAACAATTTGGCAGTTTTCTATATACATAAAATCAATTCAGCTAAATACTCATTTGACTCAACTTGTCTAACACCAGTGATTCTGGACATAGCTCCTACCCCAGTATCACCTGGGAACTTATAGGAAATGCAAATACTTTGTCCCCTCCCTGGCTCTTCTAAGTCAAGACCCTGGAATAGCATGCAAAATGTATTTAATATTTTGTAGCCATGAAAATACTGCTTCCCCTCCCTGGCCCTTCTAAGTCAAACCCCTAGAACAGATGTAGAATGTATTTAACATTTTGTAGCCATAAGAGCTATAATAATGGCTATGTCCTGGGGGCGGGGTCTAAAGTCTGCACTTGAATCTCATGTGAACATTGTAGGGAATGGAGGGAAAACTCAGATACACGACTATTTTGTTTTTAAAGTCTTCTAAGCTCAGAGCCAAACAGAATTTTTCAGTCACTAAGGTAGACAGTTGATGTTCTCTCTCTCTCTTTTTTTTTTCCTTCGTTCTTCAAGACAGGGTTTCTCTGTGTAGCCCTGGCTGTCCTGGAACTCAGTAGACCAAGCATACCCCTAGTGCCGGGATTAAAGGTGTGCATCAATCAACGTTCCCAACTTGTTGATGACCACTCAAAAGTGCTCATTCTCTAAACAGATTTAAATAAATGCTTCAACTTATATGCAACACCAGTAAACCTCAGGGTGAAATGACTTAAAAAATATCCTCAAGAGTGGTATCTACTGAAGGACAGGCAGACAAGACAGCTGAACAGGGCTTCCTAACTAAAGTTACTGACTGGTAAAACATAGCATGCTCTCCAGAACCAGCTGCCCCTCCAAGCTTCTCCAGAGAGGGGCTCACCTCCGCCAGTCTGTATGGTAGAAGTGATCCGTGTAGCTGACGATGCTGAAGGGGTAATTGAGGTGATTTTGGATTACACGCCGTCCAGTTCCATCAGGTAGTGTACACTCCAGTTTCTTGGTTCCTTTTATAAGATATCCAAGGGGGAAAATGATGGGCCAGTTAAAGTCCTCAAGGGGAACAGGCAGAATTTTAAATGGTGGTATTTTCCTCCTACTGCAGTCCACTTTAGAAACTGTAAAAATCTTACCCTGTGACTTACCCCCACCTACCTGGTGCAGGAGAACTCTAGTTTTGAGTAGAGATTCAAACTTAAATCCTTTTATGGAAGAAACAATGTAATCTGTTGAAATCTTGCCCTTTCTTCCCAGGTGGGGGGCATCAAAGATAAGCATTTTTACAATTTTAAGCCTGCATTTATAAGTTGAAAACAACATCCAGACTGACCAAAATGCTTACATATTTATAAATTTTACATATAAGAAAATGAAAACAGTGGGAATTTTTTTATATGGAAACACATTTGATTTTTTAAAAAAAGAATTCAAGAATTTTCATGTTCCAGATTACTTTTTTTGTTATTGTTTTCCGAGACAGGAATTTCTCTATAGCTTTGGAGCTTGTCCTGGAACTCACTCTGTAGACCAGGCTGGACTGGAACTCACATATCCGTCTGCCTCTGCCTTCCAAGCGCTCAACTGCCTGGCTGTTCCTAGATATTTTATTAAGTCTAAATTCCATATTCAGGAAATTCAATAACTTTCTTACTTTCTTTAGTAGAATGAACTGCATAATGTCTGAGTTTTTCTAGTAATGCATAGCATACCACAAAATAGATTATCCTGGTATTAATGCATTCCTGAAGGAGGCCATTCTCACCTCACTTGTCAAAGGACCACAGCACACAAAGTGATAAAATCTTACAGTTAAACTGTGATAATGGCTCAGAAGGCAGACCAATCTCAGTTCATTTACATGTCAGCAGCAGCTAATACTTCTAGGTGTTCACAGTAGGGTTAGGGGGCAGGACAGACATGCTACAGTCAGGCTCCCCTTTGAACCCCAGATAATTTAGAGTAAGAGTCACTGCAAACTGTTCTTTTAAAGCTTACAGATCTAGTAAGTATGCTCTGATATCTAAAAGATGGACAGATCCCTCCCAGTGCTGTAAGGAAGGCACCATTCTCCATGTCACCAGTATTACCTGCATCTGCCCAGCACAGCAGTTTGGAGAAGGGGTCAAAGGTTAACCCATTGGGTAATCCAATATCTTTGTTGATCAGAATTCTTCTGTTTTCTCCATCTAAAGATGATGTTTCAATTTTAGGAGCTTCTCTATTCCAGTCTGTCCAGTACAAGTTGCTGTGGATAAATGTACATTATTATGAACAGTTGTGTAGGGTTTGGGGATATACCTTAGTTTGTACAAGCCCTTAGACTAAATCTCCAGTACCTGCTCCCCCTAACATCCTAAAAGTATAGCCATGCAGTTTAGGGTATGCAATAGCTATACTAGCCACTACTAATTGCTACCTCTTGGTATCTACAGCCTTAACCTCTTTGTGTTATCTGAGCTGAGTGTCTTGCTCCTGGTGAGCAGTATGGTAGAAGTCAGAATATCACTTGGCTGTTGTCAGGTGCCTTTTCTTGCTCTATAAGGGAAGCTAGATTCTATACTGCAATCTACCCCATGAGCCTACCAGCAGTCCATGTGAGAACTTGGGAGAGAGACCTTCTCAGCCAAACCTTGATCATGGTCAGTATCTTGGTTGTGGCTTCCTGACATTGCCAACAGCACTTGTGTAGCCTCACCCAGATAACTTATTCATAGTTAGTAAATGTTGTCTTGGGCTGCCAAGGCTTTCTGACAACTACAGCTGTGTGGGGCATCATTATCAACTGTCCAGATCCTTGCCTCTCAGATACTTGATACAGTTACCCAGAAACCCTTACTTTGTTAAAATCTTGAACTGGATCTTGGGCCTAGAATCTAAAGAAATATATTTGCTACTGAAACTCTCCTGGTAGAAACTATGGGGCCTGCTATGAAGAACTGGGTGGAATTCGAGGAACAGAGGGAGAGTTTCTTGGACTAATACCCAAGTGTTAAAGGGGACCCTTAGTTGTCCTATACCTGGCTGCCAGGAAAGAGACTCTGACCTAACATGCAAAACACTTAGAAAACAGTATCTTGTTAAAACCTACAAAAAGAAATACTAAGATTTCCACAAAAGCTATAGTTACTTGTCAGCTAAACCCAGAGAACCACAGCAAAAGGGAAGTGGGAGTCTCCTCTGCTGTGGACATTAGTCCTTATGGGTGGCAATAAGAGCCAGAGTGGGAAGGCTGAGATCCAAACAGTCAGTGGCACTGGTGGAGTTGAGTAGCTAAGTCTCTGAGAAGCTGTGATGTTACACATATTGCACTTAGCCTGGTGTCCAGCTGACCATTTTTGACATTTTCCTCTAGAATCTGAATGCTGGAGCATAATGACTGAACAAGGTGCATTGTTCAGTTCCTGCCCTTTCAGACTTGAGCCCCAAGGACTATCAAGAGGGGCCCTAGGAGTCAGTCCTGCAGATAAGGTTCCTTCATGTGTAAAGTCCAAACCACCCTTGAGGCTTTCTTCACTGCCTTAAAGGGCTTCTCTATGATTTTGTGTGGTGGAAGTGTCATGTTAGCAATCCCTGTCCAGGCCTGTACACCACAAGTCACAGCCTTAGAAGCTGTCACGGGGAATATTTTATCTGTATTTTGTACATCCCCATCCAGGAACAAAAATGCTGGCTGTAACAAGGCTCGCTCAAGGTACTGCTGAAGGAAGCCACATCCCCTTTTGTGTACCCACCATTTTCCAAGGACCTGCCTCATGATCATCTGATTTAGGTAGCCCCCAGATACTGCAAAACATATCACATCCCGGGCTACACATTACATCCTAAGCTAGAGCATGTCATCCTACTTCCAGCCTCATACACTGCAAGGTCCTTAAAAAAAAAAAAAAAAAAAAAAAAAGCCCCTCTCTGGGCAGTCGTGGTGTACACCTTTAATCTAGGCACTCAGGAGGCAGAGGGATCTCTGTGGGTATGAGGCCAGCCTGATCTACAGAGTGAGTTCCAAGACAGCCAGCACAGAGAAATCCTGTCTCAGAAAAATCACCAAAAAAAAAAAAAAGGATTTTTCACCTACAAGGATGCCTGATAACCAGCAGTGCCTCAACATATATCCAGTAAAGTAGTGTATTTGAATTTTTATTCTGATCTGCATCTTCCCATGACAGACCTACAGGTGAAGTGAGAGAAAACAAAGGAAGCCAGCTAACCCTCGGATTGGATCCACAGTGATGGCTCGTGGGTTCACCAGATCTGTGTGAAAGAGGACCTTCCGCTCAGAGCCATCCAGCCCTGCTCGCTCTATCTTATCCAGGCCACTATCTGTCCAGTACATTGTTCGACGGAAGTGGTCGATGGCAAGACCTTCTGGGCTTATCAGACCTGGAAGTAATGGCCGGAGACAGCATCAGCAGGGTGTAAGAAGTGAACTTCAGGACAATATCTAAACAGCTTATAGAATCCAAAGCATAAAAGTCTAAATTCCCAGAACCAATGCTAACAGGAATTGACCTTTCCAATCATATTTGGTCTCTTCTGTACTAGACCTTACTGCTCTGGTGGTTCCTTGAATCCATGGTGCTGGGGACAGGCAATATAAATGGCCAGACCCTGAATTCTTACTGTGGCCCACTTTCAAGAACAGTTCATCTCGTCCTAGAATCATCTTTCTGCTTTTCCTATATAAATGCTTCTGCTAACAGGGAGGCAAGACCCATATAGCTCAAAGTAGTTTGCAAAGAACTTGACCTTCCCCTTGAGATAAAAACAGGAGAAACTATGGGCTGGAGACCCTAAGTTCAATTCCCAGTAACCACATGGTGGTTCACAACCATTTGTAATAAGATCTGATACTCTCTTCTGGCATTTAGGCATACATGCAGACAAAGTACTGATACCTAAAAATAAAACAAAACCCAGGAGAAACCGGGATGAAACAGGCCAATGACAGTAGAATAAAACACATTGCCAAGTGTCCACAGAATGAAGCTGCTGACCTGACACAACAATGGTCTCGGGTTCTGCTCCTGCTTCCAAGCTGGCACGGCTGATGGTCCGACCAGCAACATCTGTCCAGTAGACCATCCTCTCCCGGCAGTCATAGTCAATCCCCACCACTATGGAACCCTTTGAGAACCAGTCATAAAATCAGAAGATTAGTGTTGAATCCCCAACACTAAGTCCATAGCTACACTGCACTACTGTGAGCAATCTGTACTGTGGTGGTGCAGGGCAGTGGAGTCCAGTGGTTAGACAGGCAATAACTTCTTCCAAACATCAAAGCCAGGCTCAGCCATTTAACCTCTATACAACACTTCAAACAGTAAAATGTTTATAAGAGTCCTGATAGCAACTACCATACAGCAAGCTCCTCCAGTACTGGCTGTAAAAACAGTCATTTCATGAGGAAAATCTGCCCTTTGATGACAGGATCATCTCCTCAAAGTAAGTCCTTAATACTTAATGGCTCAAGAGATGAATGCTTCCAAGTGTTAAATAAATGCATTTTCTCAAAGAGCCTTTCTAAAATCTGACGACACTTGCCAACAAAGCTTCCCCTCCTGAGTTAATAGATTAAAATCCTCTCTGACTTGAGGTGCAGTTACCCCTGACTTTTAACATAAGCAAACATTAAGCCCTGTGCTATAGAAGAGAGCCTGTAATTTAACAGTTTGAGGAACTGGTTACTCGGCCTTTGACTAGTGTAGTTTCCTTCCTTTCTACTGAGTCTTACTGAAAACTCCAAACCTGTAATGTTTTTGATTGAGCTCCACACAGGACTGACTTCTTTCCATTTCTAACACAAATTCCTGCTGTGAGAACTCCCAGCAGACATGAGAATCAACACAGGCCACACCAGTCCTTGCCTAGCAAAGCCTCCTGGGGGCTTGGCTTGCTTTGTGCCTGAAGCAGCAGTCACCAGGAGACATTATATGAAACAGAATTTGGCTCTTGCAGAAAAGCTGGCATTTATGGCGGGAGGTGGGGGGGGGGAATCTAAAGTCTCAGTACTTTTATTTGAAAATCAAAATTAAAAGTTTCTCTATCCAAGGCAGAGTACATATTCATGTAGGCAGCAATGAGCCCAGAGACTCATGGGCTTCATAAACTAAGCTCCTTGGTGTGAGGGTCACATTTTAGGTAAATTGCCCTAAAGTGTGCTTGCAATTCACGTCCCCTTTCTCCTTCAGTTCCATTATAGCCTTCTTCACCCTGCCCATCAGACATGTTCAGAAATGCAATTCTAGCCACATCTGGTGTGGCTAGAATAAGATGGTTAGCATGAAAAAAAACTTCTAAAGCAGTACACTCTTAAAGAGCAGGAGTGGGGACAGTGCCTTGGATCTTAAAAAAGAAAAAGACAATCTTTTATCAAACACTGGCTGCTTTAAAGCTTTTTAAAAATCAAACAGTAGTTCATTAACAGAAGTAAATATAGAGAACCCTGTCCTGTGTGAAAAGTCTGCTCAGTGAACAGTGAAAAGAGGGTCAGACCAGCTTCCATGGTAGACAGTTGCCAATGCCTCTCTTCTCTGCACTTTGGAGAGGAAATCCCCCCTTCCACATGGAGGCTGTATCTTGCTAGCTCACGAGATAAGCTCACCCTCAGGGGGCTGCAACAGCAGCACACACTCCCCAAAGCCACTATGGACAAGGAAGAAGGCTAGGAAAAAGAGCACCAAAGTGACATAACCAAAATGAAAGGGGACAGGTTGACAAGCGGTCTGGATGGATTTCCATTCCACTATTTCAAATGACCACAGAAATCACCTGTTTTCTGGACTTCCAAGATGTTGATAACCTGAACAGAACCCTCAGAAACTTGAGTTAACAATGGTCTTCCCATAAACACCCAACAACTCGGTCCATCTGAATTTCATACGAGTGGCTTGACTTCCAGCAACTGAACCCCATTAAGCTGACTGTAGCTCAGAAGCATGCCAGAATTCCCTGCACTGCACCCCCTACCCTGAGACACCAGGCTGAGGCCTTCTGAAAACTACAAAGCACAGCCCCTCTATGCAGGCAATCCCATCAACCTAGCATGTAGATCCACCCTTCCCAAGCCCCTCCCAAGCCCCACTCTTCTCATGCAGCCCAGCCCTCTGGAAATCCAGTTTACATGCAGTGACAGCAGAGTCTTGGCTGCATCCTTCTGAAGCCTGCTGCCATTGAGAGGCAAGTGGCCAATTTGCTGGCCCTGGGCATAGAGCAGGAAGGTGCCCACAGAGGGAGGAGTCACATCAGGGCGGTGTGTGGGCCGGACCATGGGTGGAGCGATGGTGGGGATACCTGTTTGTGGAAACAAGGACATGTGGGGAGAGGACCTCCAAAACTATACAGTTTTTTCACTGAAAAAAAGAAATTTTGGTTTTTAAGTTTTTACAAATATTTAAATTGCTGACAGTACTAGGACATAAAGACAACAAAACACTAGCCTCCAAAGTGGAGGGTTTTTGTTGTCATTTTTGGAAGGCCAAAGGCTTACTGGGGACCCAGGGTGGCATTGTCCCCTTTTGCTCTCAGGGCTGGGGAAGCAGAATGATCACACCCTAGCCTGAGATCAGCTTTCCTATAGCTAGTGGCAAAGCCAACATTAAATGCAAATTGTGTTCCTGAGACATTCTGATGATACATCAATCCAGCATATTATTAAAGTGACTTTATTTAGACTTGGTAACCCTTTTCCTCCCCAGTTTACCTCAGGAAGCAAAAACCCTACAGAAGTCCTCAGTGACACAGAAGGGAGGCTAGACAGTCCCATGCTTACATGCAGGCTTTGTGCCTGGCTGTGATCGTGTGCCCTGCAGTTCTCTGCCATCCTTGTCCACACACCAACAGAAGTCACTCTTCCCATGGCACTGCAGGGGTATGAAGTGGCCCAGGTCGTCACACTGGGGTACATACTGGTCATCCTTGGGTGTGCCCCCATAGTGTTCCAGCAAACTTTCCCTCCAGCGCTCACAGACAGTCCGTGGCCTCTGGGTGGGCTCTAAGATGGGGAAACAAACCCTCCTTAGATGGCCAACCAAGCAAGATCAGTACAGCTTCAGGTCCTAATCCCTGATCCTTGGTCTTCTTGGACATGTGTTCTCAGAAGTTGTGTGGAAATGCAGAAAAGAAATCCTCCAAGGGCAGGAGGACCTGCCACAGGGGCCCAGCAACATCAGGAAAGAACAAGGTGACAAGCTCATCAGTATACCTCACTCTGGCCTAAGCCTAGGGATCCTCTCATGACTAATGCCAGAACACTGTACAGACTCACTGATGCATGTGACACTTAAAAACAATTATTCTTTCCCACTTGTTTCAAATGCTTGGACCCGTTGCTATAAGATCCATCTCCGGGCTGGTCTATGTGTCTTAGAAAAAAAAGGGGGGGCTGAAGAGCATGCTATGCTACATGTAGCCCTCAGTTTCACTTCGAAGTTACATGGAACAAGAGTGACAGGGTATTGTATACAGCACATCAGAGGTGGTACTGAGCAAGTGAAACTGATTCTTGAACTATCCAATTTCAAGAAAACCACAGCCATCACAATGCTGGAACTATCTCAGAATTCTAGCTTTCTGCCATAGTGCTGTCCTGTTTTCTCCTATACTCCACATACCCTCCAATCTTCCTCTTATCTGCAGAGTCACACCATGATTAAAGAAAGCCTGCTGCCTTCTGACTTATGAGAGTTCCCTGCCAGGCTGCTGCCCCAGGGCACTGGGGCTCTGCCCTGCATTGTGCTTTTATCTACAAAGCTCCAATTGACTGAGATCACTTGCTCACAGAGACTGGATTACCCTCAGGGCATAACTAGAGGAATTTCTGGTTCTGTCTTAATCCCTGCAACTCAAAAGTCTATGGTCTGCAGAACCACACAGTCATTACCTCCTTGCCACTACCATTTGCATGCACAATTGAACTGCACAAAAGTAATCGTTGGGCTCCCGATTTTTCCCAAAATGGCTCCTTCTGCCTCTAGTTCCATTAAATAGCACCTGCACTTCCAATTGCTTAGACACAATCACCTGGACACCTCTTTCTCTCACACCTCACAAAAAGTCTTATTAGTTTTACCTCCAAATACATTCTAACTAGAGGTGAACACAGTGGAGCATGTCTTTAATCCCAGCACCCAGGATACAGAGGCAGGTGGATCTCTGTGAGTCGAAGGCTAGCCTGTTCTACAGAGTGAGTTCCAGACAGCCAGAGCTTGTAGTGAGTCCTATCTCAAAAAATCTCAAACAACAACAAAAACCCATTCAGATTATCTTCATTTCTTGCCACTTCTGCGTGTGTTCCCCTGCTCACATACATTTCACACTGGGCTCATGGCAAGAGCCTTCTGACTGGCTTTCCTGTTCCCATCTTCCCATGCCTTCACACCACCAAACCAGTGTACACTCAGCCAGCAGCCACAATGGTACATTTAAAACCCAGGACATCTTAGTCTATTCTTCTGCTGAAAACCCTCCAGAGACTTACTTCAAAGAACAAAGCTGGAAGTATCACAGCAGGGCTTCAGAGGGACCAGTCCTCTGAGAAGGTGGGAAGACATCAATAGAGTTCCCAATCTCAAGATCAGCAAACCCTTTTCAAGAAGTTTCTGCTCCCTCAGGGTGCTGTATAGCTCATGACCCATAGGAAGCAAAGGAGACAAAGGCAGGACTCTGATCTGCTCAGCCCAAAGTGTTCCAGGACCAGGAGAAGGGGCTGCTACTGCCTCAAACACTAGTCATCTATTTCACAGTAGTATGTGCTGGGGGAAGCCACCAACATGCCCACTCCACAATGAACTCCCCAGAAAGCCACTCTTGTTTCTGGGGACCACCCATCGTGCCTATGTGTCTGGATGGATGCAAGCACATAGCAAGTCAACTAAGTCTCAGATCACTCAAGTGGGCACTCCTTTCCTCCCCTACTACTTTAAGCAATGTCATCCTATCATGGGCTTACCTTTTTCCTGCTTTGGGTTAATAAGGTTTCAAATAGTCTCCCTCCCAATGACCTGGTTATGAAAATGAGAATAGTCAGAGATGGCAGGCAAGGCCATGCAGTGCCAGAGAAGTCTGTACAAAAGAATGTGCCCTTATTTTAGTCATTAACATCTCAGCCTGAGGCACTATCCTTAACACATGTTTGTTTTAATCAACTTAAAAGAATGCCAAGCCTTCCCTCCAAGGCTCCAACTAACCACTGAATTGCAGACCTCTGACAGAGAGCTGAGGCTTTTGAGAGAAACCAGAGCAGAAACAGGATTTCTCTAGGCACCACGTTTTAAGGCCTGCAGAGTCTTGTTCATGAATAATGGGGGTGAGAGGACATGACAGGATGACACAGACACATGACAAAGAAGATCAATCTATTACCAGTTTACCTGTGTGAATCTTTCAATTTGTTTATTGAGAATTTTGTACAATATAGTTTGATCATATTCATCCTCCTTCCTCCAACTCTTCCCAGATCCATGCCCTATTTATGTATATAATCTTAGAAACACTGAAGTCCTCACAGGGAGTTGGTGGTACCTTTAATCCTAGCACCCAAGAGTCAGAGGCAGGTGGATCTCTGTGAGTTCAAAGCCAGCCTGGTCTATAGACTGAGTTCCAGGACAGTCTCCAAAGCTACTTAAGTCCATGGTCACTTTATGAATGTTATAGAATCAAAACTGTTGGAAATTGCTCAGCTTTATTTCCCTTACACATTAAAGGCCAAGATAAGTGATTCTGTAATTATGTTTTAAATCGTTTTTAAAATTTTATTTTATAATTTTAGAAGTGTCTTTTTGGATACTAACTTCCAGATCAGGAAGTATTCCAGCTAAAGCAGCAGCATGTTGCCCATTTGTGAATAATTCAGCAAGGGACTGGAAAGCTGCCTGGTGTAAGCTGCCTGCTGCTCACATTGCCAGTGAGACTCTGCCCACCATGTTCCAAAACCTTGGCAGGAAGAAGAAAGTTGACAATGGCTATGTTTGTCATGAACACCTCAGATCAGATGGATAGATTCCTATGCTTCCTAAGAAGGCAGCTGTGCAAAGGGCTTCTCATCACCATGTTGGATTGGCTAGAGAGGGTTAAAAGTAAACTCAATGGATCCATTCTGAGTTTCATACCTATTTTTCCTGCTAATATTAGCACAGCCTTCAAACTGCTTTTTACAGGGAAGTAACATGGTTACCTAGAAAGAGGTAGATAATACATTACACTGGCAAAGTTCTTTAGCTCTCTCAAGCCTCTCACACAGTGGGTCACAGCCTGATGTAGCCACTCAATTTTCAGTTTCCATTCAACAAGCATCTATGCACCTAAAATCCAATGCATACAGATCCTTCCTACCTGTCACATGTGTCTAGATGTCCTATGACATTAACATGCACATGGGTGTGCCTATGTCAGCTGAAAGACTTTAGTTTGCAGAGCAAGGATGTAGGAAAGGGGCAGAAGAGTAGTTCTTGCAAGCATAATATAGAAAATCACAAAGAATGGACGTTGACATGGGTGGAAAGATCAGGAATTATGAGAACAAGAAAGGTTACTATGGTGATGGGGCTAGGCTGATCTTGTTAAATAGAGTAGTTACTGAATTATCAAACCTTTGTGGAATAACTTGAAGGCTCTAAATGTACAGCCAAGAGAGAGCCAGAGTATGAAAGACTTTAGTTTTCAAAGAAAAAAAAGGATAAGAAGTTTCTCACAGGTCTTGGCCCACAACAAGGAAATAGGCCCCAGCCCTGGAACAAATGGTTCCAGATGACCAGCCCTATCTGGGTCACTTCTGGCCAATGGACAGTCTGGGGACTTTCTAAAGTACATTCTATGGTGTTTCCTTTTTCCTTTAAAGAAGAATAGGTCACACCTGGGTGATCTCTCAAACATGAAATCATACTTTGTAATCAATCACCTTGTGCCCCATGCATGTATGGTGATTTGCGGTCTTTCTTTATAAAAAGAGCCTGAACCCTTTGAGGGGTGTGCAGCTTCCCCTGAGATTGCTGACACCAGAGTGCACTCGTTCAATAAACACCTCTTGCTTGTTGCATCTATTGGTTTTGGTGTTTGTGTCTCGGGGCTCTCCCATCATGACCACGAATTAGGGTCTTACACAGCAAAGTGTTCTTTGGAGGAAAAGAGTTATGAAAATATAGCAGCCAGTCAGACCTATGTCTACAAAGTCAGAGCTGTGTTATAAATCACCCCACTAGCCAGGTGGTAGTGGTATATACCTTTAATCCCAGCAGTCAGGAGGCAGAGGCAGATGGATCTCTGTGAGTTCCAGGCCAGCCTAGTCTACAGAGTGAGATCCAGGACAGCCAAGGCTATACAGAGAAACACTGTCTTGAGAAACCAAAACCAAACAATGACAAAAATTACCCCACTGCCAGAGCCATTGACTCCAGGCCTGAGCTGGCATAAGGTCTTTCTTCAGGGCAAGTGGGCTCACCTGAAGGTGGTCCACAGTGAGGCGGGGTGGAGCCAGGTGGAGTCTGGGTGCCAGGGACTTCATGGCCATTCTGGTCCACACACCAACAGAAGCCAGTATTGCCATGGCACTGCAGTGGCACGAAGTTTCCCTGGTCATCACATTGGGGGATGTGGATCCGTGACCCGGGATAGGCATGCTGTGCCTGGGCATAGTGCTGTTGGTGTTCACAGGACTTCAGTCCTGAGACAGAATCTTCTGGAACAGTTATTGAGAAGAGAGACAAAGGAAATATAAGAAATAAATTTCTTATTTCACAACCCATTCATAATAACCAGTTCCCATTAAGTCTTCTGTACTAAGAATTTCTTCCCTACAACGTAAAGTTACCATGACATGGAGAAATAGCAAGACACTAACATTTTAGAGCCCTATTTCTTATTTTAGCTTTGCTATCATCTGCATAGTTGTCCATAATTCCCTCCATTTGCCCTGTACATCACCAGATGAATATAAATGTAAGCTAGCTCAGTCTGTTCCTCAGCCCTTAGGAGCCAACTGCCATCTGAGAAAAATGAAGAATAACCAATGGCATTTGCCCACTAGGGTGGGCATCACCACTTAGGGTGAACTAGAGAAACCACAGTGTAGAAGACAGACTCCGAGAAGCTCACATATCAGCAAGCAGTAAGTAGACATCAGGAGGCTATTGAGAGGAATCCAGAGCTTGTAACCCTCCCTCCCCCAGGCTCTCAGACCAGCTTCCATCAAAAGTAGGCATGGAGGACAATAACAGGGCAGGAACTGGGAGATCCTTACACTTAAGCAGGTCGTCCATCACTTACCAGATGTGCAGTGAAACCCATCCCCATGATACCCAGGCTGGCACTGACAGGAGAAGGACCCAGGGGTATTGGAGCAGGTAGCTGCCTCATGACATCTATTTTCTGCACATTCATCAACATCTGCAGAGGTCAGGGACAGCCACAAAGAGGTGAGGAAAGAAAGGAAGACCATGACTTCACCACAAACAGCTGTGCAAATAAATGGTCTCGGCACACATGGCTCAACAAGTTAGCAACTTAGAACATCCCTGGGTCTGAACTGAGAGATGCTAATATCGAAGAGCAAGTATAACAGGAAAACAGAATATATATATATATATATATATGTATATATATATATATATATATATATATATATATATATATATACACACACTCTAGCTAGTTTTATGTCAATTTTATGCAAGCAAGAGTCATCAGAGAGAAGGGAGTTTCTTGAAAAAAGTTTTCCATAAGATTATGCTGTGGGGCATTTTCTTAACTAGTGATCAATGTGGGGGGGTGTTGCCCATTATGGTGGGCTGGTGGTTCTGGGTTCTATAGGAAAGCAGGCTGAGTAAGCCATGAGGAGCAGCATCCTCCATGGGCTCTGCATTAGCTCCTGCCTCCAGGTTCCTTCCCTGCTTGAGTTCCTGTTCCCACTGCTTTTAATGATGAACTGATAAGTGGAACTGTGAGTGGAAACCCTTCACTCCCCAAGTTGCTTTTGGTCATAGTGTTTCATCACAGTTAATAGTAACCTTAACTAAGACAAAAATAAACCAAGGAACATGTGTGTTAACAAATGAGATGAGCCTGGCCTACCTATAATCTCAGCACTTGGGAGGCTGAGAGTTCGATGCCAGCCTGGTCTACAAGAACTAGTTCTAGGATAGCCTCCAAAGCCACAGAGAAACCCTGTCTCAAAAAGCAAAAACAAAACAAAACAAAACAAAAACAAAACAAAACAAAACAAAAAAACAAAAACAAAAAACCCCAACAAACCAAACAAAAACAAAACAATAAAAAAATGAGATAAATACTCAGAGTAGAAATCTAACTTGTGGGTGGGTATTCAGAGAATAACCTGCTGTGTACTTCTGAGCATCTTTAGAAGTTATTTCCTTCCAACTACTAACCTTTAGACTGTAAATCATTAATTTCCTGTCAATGATGTTACAAAGATAAATATAGGTAACAATAGTTTGTCCTTTGGCACTAGCTCCCTTTATACCCTTGTAGATACAAGAGTCAGATGAAGTCGCAAACACATCTTCAGTTTGGAAGGACCTTCAGCCTTGCCTGATCAGATTGCTGTCTAAATTCTCTAATTAGAGACTCTGCGTTACCTTTTCACTCGACAGACAGAAGAATGTTATCATGCCTAGGCCCCTTCACTCTGCAATGCTTCCCTGGGAGTTTATATTCAAAAACTCCAAAATCCCACAGCTTAAACAAAAGCCAATTAATATGCCTTTTCATTTTACTTATTAAAGTTGGTCCACACCATCAGCCTCTTCCCACACCCTCACTCAAAAGACCCTCAAGAAACTCTTGGGGGTGGGACTGTTAAAGCCAATGCCAGGGTATGAGGTGAGGTCTGAGAGGACAGGAAATCTTCCAGAGGAAAAAGGGGGAAACAAAAGGTACAGGTCAGAGCTGGGCTTGACGAAAAACAAAAGAAAGCCTGAGTCACATCCACAATAACAACTAGAACTGTTTTTGATGTGTGAGTAGAAAAAAGTATGTGACCTGCAATGGCAAGTCGCCTAGAAAAGGCGGCACTGCGTCCACTTGGTGCAGCCTATGGCAGCTTGGAAAGTGGAAGTTTGTAACTAGGGGTTAGATTTGAATGGGCGGGGATCCCGGAAAGACTCCATGAGCCGCCAGGCAGCCCACATCCTCCAGGAGCTCCTCTCATAGCTCAGCTGTTTTCTTGGTTGGCAGCCCACTTTACCTCACACACAGGCATTCTGTTCCCCAGACAGGAATCCTTATACTCACCTAGTGGGCAATATGCCTGTCCTTTGCCTTTGGAGAACACAGTGCCTTTGAGTCCAAAACCCTTGAATGCTCAACGAGATCAAGATTAATTCCACCCAGATTGCTCTCCCTAGGCAAGCAGCTGGCTTTTCTGGTTACTTTCACCTCCCAAGATTAAGAAGAGATTTATTTAAACAGCATCCTAGATAGCAACTCAGTTACTAAAGAATGGTCAGTCATCCTTATCCTGGTAGCCAGCTCCAGGGCACAGGTGAGTGGGGAGCTGGCTGGGCCTAGAAGGGCTATAAAACTGATTGCAGAGACAAAGCTATAAAAATGAACATTCAGCCAAACTCAGGAAATTCAAACTATGACAGAACATACCCCAGAAGTACTTCCTGTGGGGACAGGAACCCCAAGCAATTGCAGGAAACAAACATTCCTGATCCACACAACCTATTGCTGGACCCCAGGAGCTCCTTCTTATGGCTATTCTTTAACCCATGGTGCCAAACCTGCATTATTAAAACCCTGACAAAACCTGAAACAGTCATTTCGTTGCCTTCTTTGTGGACACCATGATTATGTCAGACAGCAGCTGTCAGGAAAAATGCCTTTGAAAAGTTAACATCACATCTGAGGAATCCCTGACCCCCAAACTGGAGAATTGTAGGCTCCAAGAATTGCAACCAACTCCTCCTTGGAGGGCCTCAATGACTGACAGATTGAAGCCAGTCAGCAGCTCCAAGGCCTGAGTGCAAAGCTGGCTTCAGTAATTCCTTAGGAGCATGAATACCACAGGGTTTGTAGAAGCCAGAGCTCATTTCCTGGGACAGGAAGTGTCCAGACACAAGATGGGGAAGGACTTTGGCCTCTTCTCAAGGCAAGAGCTCTCTTTTTAATCTCCACTGTTAGGAAGCTGCCAGTAACAACTGACCAGTGGGAGATATGTTCATGGGCGATGGGTCCATACAAAAGGATGAGACAGCAGGACAGCTTTGTCACGAAGGCAGCAAAAAACAAGGCAACTCGACTCCAGCATAGCCAACACTTCCACCATTCACCCAGTTAACAAAAGAACCTGTTAGGACAGTGTCTGGAACCCTCCATTTAGAGCTCATGCTTTGGGCTTTGAAATCCCTTCCTGTCCTCATTTTGAACAGGAAGGGCTGGAAGCAAATTCAACCACTGAATGATTGACTTGCTTTCTGACTCAGTGTTTTAATTCTCTGGTGCCGATTAACCTCTGTACTACCCAGAACACTATGCTTTGGCCAGTATGCCCTTGCTGTCCCTCTGGTCCCTAACTGTCCAATCATACATAAATGTCTGCTGTTTGTGTCTGCGTAGCATATGGTGATCTTCCTTGGAACATACAAATAAAATAATAAACATTGTTGCTTCCATGTTCACACCCTCTTGTCCATGATTTACCCAGCATCTCTGAGCACAGACATTCTGACTACATATGCACCACTCATCTGACTTCTGAGCAAAGACAGAACAGACCTTCTCTACCCTGTTTTCCTCAACTCACATTTGAAACTCCTGGGAAATAGCCAACTCACACTAACACAGGAAAGAAATCATTCCATATGGAGGGAACGTGGACAAGATTTCACTCTTTAAGAACCAAATCCTCGCCCCCCTCCCCCGCCTGAACTCCCTGGGTTGGCCCCTGATCCTGCTGCTCCTGTCTCCGGTCCCCATCGAGAGCACCCTTGGAGCTCTGATACACCCCCACCCATCCCCACTGCCAGCCTACCCCCCCCCCACCCTGTGCCCTACTCCAGCCACGGTCCTGCCACTCTGGTTGAGCACTGGGACAGAGGGTGGAGCCAACAGTCCACCCTACTTCGGAGACTTCTCAGAGCAACTCTGAACAAAGGAGACCTGACTATCCACACGGGACCACCCGTAATTTCCACCAGCTTGGTCTCTGACCCCACCTCCAATCCTCTGCTGGAGTCCTGGGCCCCTCCCAGAGATCCCCCTATCTCTGCGGGTCCACTTGGAGTTCCCGCAGGCAAGATCCTTGACCCCCAAATCCTGGCCTCTGCCAAAGAACAAGGTCTCAGCTGGAGAGCACCAGTTTCCAGTGAGATCCCACTACCCTGCAAAACCTTCTTAAGTTCCAGCTCAGCCCTCGTCCTCTTCCGCCAGCTATTGGCCAGAGCTATTGGCCAGAGGTCCACTGTGAGTACCTGCTGGCATCTTCTTCTGGATCCTCATCCTTGACCCCATCCCTGGATCCCTGTCTGCGGAGAAACATCCTAGAGAGCTTGGACCACACAGAGCTACAGATATTGAATGTCAGACCCACATAAGCCCATCGGGGAAGTACCATAGAGAGAGAAGGGAGACACCACCAACACCTACTGGAAGAAGCTATGGGAAGAAGGCAGTACAAGAGAACACCTAACAACAGAAAGACAAACATGACACTACCAGAATCTAGGGAATCTACACCAACTAGAATGGAACACAACAACAAAGCAGAGGAAGCAGAAGGGTACGACTTAAAAATTACCATCATAAAAATGATAGAGGCCCTCAAAGAAGATGTGAGGAAATCCCTTAAAGAAATGGAGGAAAAAACAAACAAAAAAGTGGAAGAAATGAACAAATTCCTTAAGGAAAGTACAGAAAGCCAAGGAAAAAAAATTAACCAGGTGAAGGAAACGGTTCAAGACTTGAAAACTGAAATTGAAAAAATAAAGGCAACACAAACGGAAGGAATGCTGGAAATTGAAAAGCTGGGCAAAAAATCGGCAACTACGGACACAAGCATAACCAATAGAATTCAAGAGATGGAAGAGAGAATCTCAGGCGCAGAAGATAAACTACAAGAAATAGATTCATCAACCAAAGAAAATCATAAATCCAACAAATCCTTAACACAAAACATCCAGGAAATGTGGGACCATGAAAAGGCCAAACCTAAGAATAATAGGCATAGACGAAGGTGAGGAAGCCCAGATCAAAGGTGCCGAAAACATATTCAACAAAATCATCGAGGAAAACTTTCCAAATCTGAAGAGGAACATGCCCATGAAAGTACAAGAAGCATACCGAACGCCAAATAGGCTGGACCAAAGAAAAAAGACCCCTCGACATATAATAATCAAAACACCTAGCATACAGAATAAAGAAAGAAT